TCTTTGTGGCACGTGGGGCTCCAGGGCCATGCTTGGTGCTGCACTTGTGGCATGTGGGGGCTGCACTTGGGGCAGGTGGCAGCAGCGCTGGCAGGGGGGCTTATGGGAGGGGCTGCAGGCCCTCCAATCCCCTTCCCAGCACTGCCACTGCCCGGCCCAAGCACAGCCTTGAGTGCAGCCCCCGTACACCGGGAACAGCCCGGCACAGCCCTGGCCCCAGCCTGCAGTGCCATCCCATCCCACCCCCCCGTGCAGATCAGGGGGCACAGCACCACCCCTGTGCACTCCTGGGGTGTACGCAAGGGTGGGAGCCATCCCCCTCCCCACGCCCCTCGGACAAGCCCCAGCTCCATCCCGCAGCCCCGCATCGCCTTCCCTAGCAGAGCAGCAGTGGCCCCAGCCCCATTCCCTCCCTCACTGCAGGGGGCATTGATCTGTGCTCCCCCCATGCTTCTTCCCTCCTCCTCTCCTTCCACCAAAACAGGCTTACCAGCTGCACATAGCTCTCCAAGCTGCCGGGCTGAGTTCCTCACTGCCTGCCTATGCATAAGCAGCTGGCGTTGGGGGTGGGTTTAATTAGAGTGGTTCCTGGACAGCCGCTCTAATTAAAATGGCTTACCATCACATGTATTAAGCCCCCATGCATTTAAAAAAAAAGGCAGTGGGAGGTTTTATATAAATCTCTAAACCTTTATTTAAGCCTTTATTTAGATAAAGCACCCCCAAAGCCATTATAAAACATGTGGGGGCTTAATACATGTGACAGTGAGGTGATGTTAAAGCATAACAAACAAGGCAAAACACAGCCATCGTTACAGTTAAACAAGTCTCTCATTAGGGTTCATAAAATAAAAGTTAGTCTTCTTGATCTTAAGCATCTTGACTGACACTCTAAAACTTTGCTGCCCTTCATTTCCACACCTGGGTTAAGATTTTAAGCTAGAGCTAAAAAACAGCCTGCAAGGGTGGGAAATAGAAAAGAGACATTCCAGGCATGGCTAGCAGACTGTAACATTGCAGAGGCAAGGAGAGTTTAAAGAGCGGGACTTCAGACCATTAAGAGAGGGTCATTAACTTCTGTGGTGTGCAGAGGCAGGAGCAGGAATCAGGGAGATGATGATGAGCCATGAAGTCATAGAATCCCAGAAGTCGGGCTGGAAGGGACCTCCAGAGGTCATCTAGTCCAACCCTTTGCCTGAGGCAGGATCAGCCCTATCCAAACCATCCCATACAACCATGATCTAAACCAGAGACGGGCAAAGTCCAGCCCACAGTGGACTTCATTTCCCAGCAACCCCTGCCCTTGTTTCTGTAGCCAGTTTCCATGGGGACCCCAGCAGCAGAGGAGCTCTGACAAGGTGGTCAAGGTTTCCATAGAGGTCAGCCCCAGCAGCACTGGTGAGGCATGCAGCTGGGCAGGAAACTGCTCTGGGGCTGGGATCTTGTGGCAGTGACAGCATGGTCTAGAACCAAGGCAGAGCTGTGATCCACTGCCTGCACAGCCCAGGCAGGGCTGTGCACGCAGCAGATCATGGCTCTGCCTCAGATCTGGACCATGCTGTCAGCACTGCAAGATCCCAACCCGGGATGTGGAGCCTCTCCACACCCAGCCGCATGCCCTGCCAACACTGCCGGAGCCAGTCTCCTTGGAAACCCTGGCGCCACTGCTGGGGCCTTCATAGAAACCAGTGATGTGGGCGGGGCAACTAGGAAATGGAGTCCGGCTGCCAACCGAATCTACCATTTTGCCCACCCCAACCTAAACACTACATAAGACTACTGTCAACCCTGACACAACACAGACCTAACACCCTAACCTGCCACAGGTAAAGCAGGGGAACCACAGCAGCCAATGCCCTGCTTTTATGAAATGTTGTCTATAAATACTCAAGAGATCCTGGGCCAAGGGCTACAAAGGAAGACAAAACCCTGCCACAGTCCCAAACCTGGCAATCGGTCTAACCCTGAGCAGAGGGTCAAGACCCCTTAGCCAGGAACCTCAATTGATGCACCAAATGCAAAACCCAAGTCACTCTCAGGGAGTCTTTAGTTCTTTATTAATATATTTTGTATTCCATGTCAAATCAGTCAAATCGGGTCCAAATCATATTGATTGATTGATCAATATTTAATCATTCCAAAAACTATCGATTGAGCAGGCAGAACTGTCATTCTAAATGCCATGTGTGGTGCTACAACCAGCAAGCATCCTCCATCCCAGCCTTTCATCCTGGGACTTCAGATACTCCCGGATCCATTGGCAGGCATCCTACATACAGGCCAAACAGGGAGGTCTTGGGATTCGGATGCCCCCACTTGATCTGAGCCAAAAGGCCACCACCTACTTGATCACGGTATTTCCCCAAAAAGTCTTAACTGACTTTCTGGTTTGCTGCCAGCACTTTCTTAGGACAGCTTGCCTCGAAATAAAAGAAATGCTTCAACTTTGATGACCCATTTCTCAGTGCTGACTTACAGCAAGCAATATAAAGGAAATAAGATCCCTGGAACATGGAAGATAACATATTTTAGCCAATTTTAGAATTATAAACTTCACTGCTAAACAAGAAAGATGTCTACACTTCCCTGCCTTTCTGCCATCTGACACCACTGGGGAAGAAAAACTGCCTCATCTGCACATCAAAGAACATCTCACTCAAAGGGACTCTCGTGGACCCAGAGGAACAGACATCCACCTTCAGCTTCCTCTGTGCACAGTGATGTTTATTTTCTACCTATGGGGACTTTTACAATCTTGGATTTCCCCTCAGCCTGAAGAAGGGCAGGCGTGCCCAAAAGCTTGCAAAGAAAGATAATTTTTTTGCTACTTTCTAGTTGGTCTAATAAAAGGTATCACCTCTGAACCAAAAGGTTTAGTTTTGTATTCCTACAAAGCAGCAGTTCCCAATCAGTGGCATAGCACCAGTGGTACGCAGACAACCTGTCAGTGACACACATTAACAGATTTATTATAATTATATTATCACTATATTATAATAAATTATTAATTATATAATATATAAATTATACATTATATAATTATAATAATTACTTTTTATGACAAAAACTTGCCAGTCGTACTTAAGGTTGAACTGAAACATTTGCTGGTGGGACTTAAGGTGTATTGTTTTAAATGGGTGGTGTGCAACCTGTCAGAGACTGGGAACCACTGTAAATAAGGATTATTGGCATGCTTATTTACATATTTTGATTCTGTGGACAACACTTTTTCAGCAAATACCAGCAATCTGAGCTTCCAATGCCATAATTTCATATTCAAAACCTAGCATCTAGCTTTAAACACTGGATGGAGAAGGCGGAGGGGATGCAACTGCACCCCCTAGACCCAGCTACAGGACACCCCTGGGGGGTGACGGGCAGTTGAGGGAACGGTTGTGGGGAGGAGTGGAACCCTGGGGCCCGCCGCGCGCGGAGGAAGGGCAGGGGCGCAGCACGGGCGGGTACCTGGGCCTCGCCAGTGAAGAAGACCTTGGTGCCGATGCGCAGGCAGACCCGCTCTTCGGCCGGCCCCTGCCTGCGCAGCCGCCGGGGCC